ACTTTGAGAAGCCGCGCCGTCCATGGCTCGTATGGTCCTTTGATGTCAGCAAGCAGGTCATTGGTGGTAGTATGATGCACATGAGCAACTTGCTGGTTGCGGCGCTGAGCGGCCGAGGCCCGGAGGGTGAAAACATGACCAATCCATGCTCGTGGTAAGTTTTTTAATTTTTAATTTGTAATCCCTATTTTTCTTTTTTAAAAAGGAGAACGCGATAATGAGGGTGGCGGGACTTTTACACCCGCCACCGCAGCAGCCTTATATTCTTCAATTTGCCGGTTACTATAAATAACTTGGATTTCGCAAAATTTTGCTTGTTGCGGGATTTTTTTAATATTTTGTAGGTACGTGCTTAACCTAACCTTGGACTGCACCCTGGGCGTGCTCATTGTCGCGGGCTTTTTGACACTGTACGGGAATATAGCGCAGCGACTTCAAATCACCGGCCTCGAGTCTGGGCACTACGGCGATCCGCCCAACTGGCGTCGGTGGATAAAGCAAGCGAGCATATTCTGCGCCAGCATGATTAGCATGAAGCTCACTGTCATCCTGCTTATAACCTTGATGCCATTCCTTGTGGCAATCGGCGACGGAATCCTCAAGCCGGTACAAATGCTGCACAGCCCACATTTTGAAATCATCTTTGTCATGGCCATTTGGCCCCTGACGCTCAACATCTTTGAATCCTGGGTCCTCGACCAGTTCATCAAGAGGAAGCTCAACCACCGGGACGCGGCATCTGTGCATGTACATGGTGCCATGGTTGCCGGGGACGAAGACAGCCTTTATGATGCGGCTGCCAGGTTCAGCACTTCCTTTGAAATGTCGTCGTCGTCGGTGGGAAGCAGGAATGTCCACAGGTCGTCTGCGTTGCATGCTCCGCGGCAGGTGTCGATGGACATGTCGGAGTTTGAGATTGGTATTATCAGCGATGGTGAGGATGAGGCTATAGGCGGCATGAATGTGCACGGCGGCAAACGGGATAGCCGCTTGCACCCGTCATACATGGTTGGTATAGGCGCAGAAGCGGCCGTCGGTGGCACCTACAAGCAAAAGAATTCTCTGGATCTGGATGCCAGCAGCGACGAAGATCTGGATTCCAAGCTGTTGGCCAAGCAGAGCAAACTGCACGACAGCTAGCGTGTGCACTGTTAGCAGCAAATCAAAAAACAAGACATGGCATTAGCACGAGAGAGATGGAGATGAATACATATGTACAAAACCAAGCTCAATGCATTTTTATGGTCTATTTAAAATTTTCTACAATAATTTACTCAAAAGACACGTTTCAAAGGGTTCTCAAGCAGCTCGACTGCCGTGCCTATGCACGCAGCAGCGCGCGGATAACCTGGGAGACGTTCATTTTGCGCAGGTCAGTGTATGTCTGGCCCGTGCCGACAAATATGATCGGCTGCCCCGTGGTGTATGTCATGGACAGAGCGGCGCCAACGCGGTCATCGATCGTGTCGAACTTTGTCAAAATGATGCCATCAATATGTCTGGGCTTCGACTGGCCCGAAAAGTCGCGCAGCGCGCGGTTGAACTTTTCGAGCTGGTCCACGGCCTCATTGCCCACCAGGGCCTCGCCGACGAACAAAATCTTGTCGGGGCTGTTGACGCTCACGAGCTTCGCCAGGGCGCGCATCAGTGGCTCATTATCCTGCATACGGCCGGCTGTGTCAATCAGCACGACATCAAAGCCGTTGCTCGCGCCAAAAGTAATGGCATCCTTGGCGATCGTAGCCGAATCCTTGCCATAGCCGCGTTCAAAAATCTCGACGTTCTGGTTATTCGAAAGCGCGCGCAGATTGCGCACATGCACACGCAGCTGCTCGACAGCACCCGAGCGGAAGGTATCGCAGGCGGCAATCAGCACGCGCTTGTTGTTCTGCAGGAGCCAATAGCAGACCTTGGACAGATTGGTTGACTTGCCGACGCCGTTGACGCCAACAAACGCCATGGTGTACGGGCGGCCCTTCTGCTGCGCGTGTTCGATGTCGCGGATAATGTCTGTGGACGACACGGGTGTCAGAATGCGTGTCAGCGCAGTCTCCATGCTCTGCTCAACCAGCTGGCGGATGTTCTGCAGACCGCCAACGCGCACACCAAGCATACCCTTGGCCACGGTCTTGCAGATCTCGTTGGCAATATCGGACGCGACGTTCTTGTTTGCCAGGTGCTCGCGCATCCGCGCCATGGGCTCCGTCAGAATGTCGGCCGTGAGCACGCGCCCGCTTGTCAAGTTTTTAAACATGCCAAAGAAGCCGCCTCCAGAACCCTTGCTGTCCTTTGCCTCGCTGTCGCTGCCGCCATCGTTGTCGCTAAGCAGGACAAAGCTATCGCTATCTCCAGAGCCTGTCGAGCGCTCGGCCACGTCAGCAACCTCGTAGATGCCATCGGCCGTGCGCGCGCCGCGCGAGTTCTCGTCGACCAAAGCTGAGACCAAGTGGCTACCCATATCTTCATTACCGCCATTTGCGCCGCTGTAGTCCAGTGCATGCATGCTCTCCTTGGTAACCTGGCCGTCCCACACGCGCTTCTCCTTGCCCTTCTTCTCTGCCTTCTTCCCGGTCTTCTTTGCCTCTTCACCATTGCGGCGCTCTCCGAACGAACGCATCTTGCTGCCAGCGCGACGACTCGGCGCCAGAAGCTCCATCTCGCCGGCCTGCGCCAGCTCCTCCAGCTCAAGCTTGGCGCCCTTTGCCGTCGTCTGGAACTTCTTTGTGTCTTCAAACTTTCGTGGCTGAGAATGCCTGCTCTGTCGCTCGCGCTGTTCGCGATCCTCGACGGCCCGCATGACCTGCTCAAATTCGTCGTCAAAATCGCCAAAGATTGGGATATCCAGGCAGTCGGAGTCCATCAGCTGCTTAATTTCGCTCTCGAAGCGCACAATGAAGTGGCGCTTGATGTGCTTCAGCAGATCTTCGATGTAGGGTAGCTGCAGTATTTTCTGGTACACGGCAATAAATATCACGTTGAGCTCGTTGGCGAACGTCCACTGCAGCGTGTACGCGCCCGACATGTATTTGCTGCTGCTGTCCGTGCGCGTGCTCTGAATGAGCACATCTTGTACGAGCGAATCCACCGGATGCCCACCGACCGAGACGTAGTCATTCGACCACAGCAGGATGCCGCCCTTGGTTGCAATGACAAATTGGTCGAGCATTATTTTTTGCAAATGTAGATGTGTTAGAGCAGGAAAAATATGGAGTATTTCGAATATTTAAAAAATAAAGAAGCTTGCAGAAAGCGGTTGGTTATATGAACCAGGAACCACAGTGCTGGCGCCAAAGGTATGCATGACTGTGATCCGTGTGCTTGAACAATTACACTTTGATTATCAGTAGCTTAATTTTAGCTGTGCATATTTATCTTTTATTCGATCTGTATGTCCAATATACCGGTTAGCCGCCAAATCAGTAGTAACAGGCGAACACGTTGGCCATTAGTTTTTCCCCACCTTATCCAGCTGGACGCGCCATACATCTGGTATCGTTGCCATTGCTGGTATAAAAAAGTGGAAAGTATGAATCCCACGGTTCAGACGCTCAGCAACTAGAAGTATCATTAGGAGTTTTGGAGTGCAAAACTCCCTTTATATTTGTTTTTTGGTCAAACGCTCGTATATTTTGTTTGGCTGTCGATTTGGTTCAGAAAATGTAACTGTAAAAGAACTACAGTCAAGAATAGTTAGCAATACTAGCTCATCTTCTCAAGCAAAAATGTAATTTCCAAAGTTCAAAGAATGTTTGTAAAGCACTCTCGACTAGTGTTGTAAATAGTTGGCTTACAAGTTTATTACTTAATTGTCCTTTCACAGCTCACTCAAAAAACACAGGATTCAAAAACACTATTGATTTATGGCACCAGATAAATCATAAAATGAGGTCCGACATTTCATAGAATTCAGAGACAGTGCTCAAGGACAAGACCAAGACCGCCGTCGAGTCCAACATCAAGTTCAGGTGTTGGAACCGCAACACTGCATTGGTGTGCAATTTTATTCTGATATTCCTATATCGTTGCGACTTTGGTGAGCGCCACCCAGCTTTCAAATTCCGTGGTAGACCACCAAATGATCCGAATTCCGGGTCTAAGCGCAACAAGTCTGGATAATTGTGTATCCTTTTCCTCACATCATGGCAGCTATTACTGCCTGACAGCCCAATCCCTACTAAAACCAATGACAGCAGATGGGAAACTAGGGCCTTTGTGCAAAACTCCATAATAATAATTACGTTTTTCGTGTTATTATGTTCTCGATTTGAATCTTGTTTTTTATCTCCCTTTTGTTTATCTTTTTCTACCAAAATTGACTCATAATACCTCTTATTTACTAAAATGAAAATCCTGCTTCTCGCCGGCGATTACATCGAGGACTACGAGCTGTACGCTCCGCTCAAGGCGCTCGAGATGCTGGACATTGACGTCCACATTGTGTGCCCCGACAAGAAGGCCGGAGGCACTATTCAGACTGCGCTGCACATCGTTGATGGCTGGCAGACATACTCGGAGCGCCCCGGCCACCCGTTCGAGCTTGAGCACACCTTCTCGGACATCAACCTCGACGACTACGCCGGCCTGGTCGTTCCCGGCGGCCGCTTCCCCGAGTACCAGCGCTATGACCAGCGCGTGTTGGATATCATCATCCACTTCTTTGACCAGAAGAAGCCCGTGGCGGCCGTCTGCCATGGACTGCAGCTTCTGGCTGCTGCTGGTGTGCTTAAGGGCCGCTCGTGCTCGGCATTCCCCATGTGCAAGCTCGACGTTATTGCTGGGGGCGGCAAGTACGTTGACTTTGATGCGTTTAGCAAGAATGTGCATGTTGACGGAAACCTGGTCTCGGCGCCTGCGTACCCTGCCATTGGTGTCTGGCTGCGCGAGTTTATCAAACTGCTTGGCGTCAAAGTCACTCTCTAATGGTGCATTTGCTTTTACTATCTATTTTTCGTGACTAATTATATAAAAATGACATTGCAACAAAAACGATATTTTTTACATCACGCTCGCTTTGGCGGCGCTGAGGCGTTGTTGGAAACATTAGTCCCGCCCTGTTTAGCTCCGCCGCTGTTCTTTGTCGCTTCCTCTTCGGACGTCACTGACGCCTGGTGCAACTCCAACAGCTGCTCAGCTTTGTCGTCATCGAGCCTCTCGATCAAGTCCGCATCGAGGTGCTTGCCAATACCCGTGGAGGATCCCTCCATGTGTTCGCTGCTGAGATCCCGAGTCTGCTCCTTGAGAAGATCGAGGTATGATGTCCACTGAGTGAAGAACGGTTCGAGGAACCGCTTGTCTGTGACTGCTCTGTGACTGCGAAACTCAGCACGCACGTACTGGTCGCCGACAAACCGCATCTCCTGGGGAAGTCTCCGGTGGGTCCGCAGAATGTTTCTGAACAAATGCTTAGCATTCACCATTGTTGTAAAAAAAAGTGTAAATTTTGGGCTGAATTATTGGGTTGAGAAAAAGGGAATAAAAATAAAATAAAATAAAAGTTTAAATGGTAAGGGATAATTGGGCTCGGAGATTTTGCAATTTTTTGGATATCAAAATCGCAAAAGTTGCGCATTTCCAAGAAAAAGATAAGGGTCGAAATTGCTGCGATATTAGCTCCGAGTTTTTTTTAGTAAAAAAATTCCTTCATCCTGCAGCAAAATCAAGCGCTTAGATTGTTGAGTCAATTCATTCGTTTAAATATGTGATGAAACAAAACAAGCATGCAAAATTTTCATTTAAGTGGCAGTTTATTCGTAAAGAATGGCTTAAGAATATTAATGCACCATATATCAGAGCAGCAAAAAAAGTTGTCAGTTAAGATTGAAGACCGTGCCTTTTCCACGAAAAAGTTGGGCTTTTCAATAAGGAAGCCTGAAATTGAGGTGATGGATTATGTAATCGGTGTGCTCAATTAAAAAATCATCTCGGTAAATATATTTCCCAGCGAGCTCGTCATCATTGTATAGCACGGTAACAGACAGCACAACACCAGGTTTTATCAACAGCTCCTCCTTCAAGTCCCTTATAGTGCGACATCCTTGGCGGTAAATCAGCAGTACGTATGCACCAGAGTTGTATATTTCTCTCCACATTGCCCTCGCCATTGTCAAGATGTCAAAATAAAAAGGTCAATTGCGCGCTAAAATTGATGTGAATGAGAGGTTGGAAGAGTAGAAACAATTTTAATTGTGTTAATAAAACGACAGAGATAGATAGATGATGTTTGCAAGCCACAGCGAGGGCGAGAATAATGTGCTCCGACTAGCTCCTCTTTTATACGAGCGGGAAATGCCATGGAAATATGTCGCTTGCCATATCCAAGCATGTGGAGACTGTGTGCAACACGATGTTAATGATCGTCATTATCAGCAGTCGTACGCCACTTAGACTGAATCCGGACCATGTGGCAACAAGGGTCCGAGCCATGCGTGGTTATGAATGCCATGGCAATTGAAAGCGGAAACGCCGGATCAGCATGTTGACAATGGTGCCGAATCAAACTATTATCACGTGCAACCCCCAGAAGCATGCGCGTTTTGTAAAAAGGATTATCAAAAAATGAGTTAAAACGGTTTTGGAGCGCATAATTTCTCCACCCAGTACCACAACATATCCTCCTCATCAGAATCTTAATTACTCAAAATACTTATTAGAAGGGCAGGAAGAAATGGTTGAACACAAGCGCAAGGTACCGCCCGTAAGCTCCTCGGATGAGGACAATCAAACACAACACGAATCCTCATCCAGTCACACACACACGCATGGCACAACGGTGGCGCTAGTTAAGCGTCCAAAGACTGATGACAGTCGGCACGAGGGCAGCACAGCGCTCATTCAGGCCGGGCCGAGGCGCACATCCGGGTTGCAAGCGCCAATCATGCAGCTGTCTGGCCACTCGGGCGAAGTAACCACTTGTCGCTTTTCGCCCAGCGGTGAGCACTTGGCATCAGGGTCGATCGATATGCGGGTGTTCCTGTGGAACACGTACGGAGACTGCGAAAATTATGGCGTTTTGCAGGGACACAAGGGCGGAATATTGGAGCTTCAGTGGATGCCCGGTAGCGAGAGGCTGATTACCGCAAGCGCAGACAAAACAGTGACCATGTGGGATGCGACTACGGGCGAAGTGCTGAAGCGCGGCCGGCGACACACCGCGCCGGTCAATGCGTGCTGTCCGCTGCGTTCTGGGACCGGCGACGACAATGTGTTTGCCAGCGCCTCAGATGACGGAAATCTGTTGCTGTGGGATGCGCGCGAGCGTCATCCGGTGGCTACAATCGACCACCAGCTACCGCTCACGTCTGTGGCTGCTGCGCACTCAGGAAATATCGTTTACGCCGGCTCGCTGGACAACTGCATCACTGCTTGGGATGTACGCACAATGTCGACACCCTCCTTGGTGCTGCGCGGTCACGCTGACACGGTGATGGGTATTTCGCTGTCGCCAAAGACGGGTAACTATTTGGTTTCAACTTCGCTGGACAACACTGTGCGTCTTTGGGACTTGCGCCCGTACTGCCGCATCCCCAATCGCTGCAAGCGCGTATTCACCGGCGCTCCCCACGGCTTTGAAAAGAACATAATCCGACCGGCCTTTGACCGCGACGAAACCATGGTTGCATCGGGCAGCGCTGATCGGACGACGACAATATGGAACATGCGCTCCGGCGAGATCAAGTTCAAGCTTCCAGGACACAAGGGCTGCGTAACCCAAGTTGACTTTCATCCGCGGGAGCCGATTATCTTGTCGTCGAGCGTCGATAAGACCATGTTTTTGGGTGAGCTGTAGCCCGGCCTTTTCTTCACATGCTGCAATACAATTCGGTGCTTTTTATTTGACGCAAAAAAAGAATTATATTTGGTCATCTGCAATCACGGTTATCGTTTGCTCTTGTAGCTGCTTCCTCCCCTTCTCCAGTATTTCCTCTTGCTCACGCTTATCTCTGATGCGTCTGCGGAAGCGGCGGAGCTTGGAGATGGCCATGATGACTGGCATGATGTCAAAGATGGGCTGGATGATACTGTCGATATCCTGCTGAGTGACCTCTTCGACGGGGTTTTCGCAGTTCTTCTCCTTGGTCGCCAGGTGGAACTTGCCGCCCTGAGTGACCCACGGGTGCTCGCGAATCTCATCGATCGTGATTCTCGTCTCGGGGTTGCGCTCAAGCATGTGAGCTAGCAGGTCGTTCAGGCTTTCATCTTTAGTACCCAGGAACTGCAGATCGTCTGAGGAAATCGCGTCCATAATCTCAAACACAGTGGTGCCCTTGAATGGCAGGGTGCCGTACACGAAGCAATATAGACACACGCCCAGCGACCATATGTCCGCGGCCTCGCCGGAGATCTCGCTTAAGCTCTGGCAGAGCTCTGGCGCCATGAAGGCAGGAGTGCCGGTGGACCCCTTGACCTTGTCCCCGATCTCCTCGAGCAAGACAGATTCGCCAAAGTCTGCAATCTTGAGCACATTGTCTTTTGTCAGGAGCAGGTTGTCGGGCTTGATGTCGCGGTGCACAATACCATGCTCGTGGAGGTACTCCAGCCCGAGCAACGCCTGCGTGAAGTGCTTGTGCGCAACCTCGGTCGAGTATGTGCTAGTTGAGTTTTGCTCAGCGTTCAGAATCTGGATGGGACCGTTCTCGCACAGGTCAATGACTATATGAAAAGCGAGTCAAACACACGCATAAAACTTATTTTAAGAACACATATCTACATTTCTTACAGCGTTTGTTGACGATAGAAAGCACTCTACAGAAGGACAAGTGGCACCACAGATCAAGTGTTAATTTTATTTTCCGGCTGCACGGCTGCACTTACTTAGATACAGCACATCCTGCTCCGAGTCGTTAAGTACCTCATAGAGTTGCACGAGGTTTTGGTGCTTGAGCTTCTTTGATATAGCAAGCTCGGTCTTTATCAGCGAAAAGGGGTCGGATGCCTCCTCGCTCTGCTGCTTCTGCATAGTCTGCCGGGCAGCAAAAAGCCCGCCACGGCCTGGCCGCATGGGTCCTCCGCCGCGTGCGCTCTTCATTATATCAGACTGTCGCCGCTTGCGCAGACTCGCTTTGAAGTACTCCTTCATGGCCTACATACAAAAAAATGTGGTTTAGCATTGGGTATATTTCAAGACATAACATTGGCGCAAAGCAAGAAATAAGAGAGCATCCAGCATACGTACATATTGTTTCCCGGTGTCAGCGTGCTTGACAAGGTAAACGGTTCCGTACGCGCCCCTTCCGAGCTTCTTGACAATGGTGTATGTGCCGACAACCATCACGCCGTCAGCGTTCTCGCCAACCATAGCGGCGACCGTGTATTTTACGTCCGGATTTGAAACCTTGTACATTTCTGACTCTGAATTAGTATTTGAATTGTAATAATAATTGTAACAAACAAAGGCAAAATAGGTTAACAAAAATAAACAATAGCATGAACGAGCAAACAAAAGAAACGAGGCTCACGCATGTGTGATTCCCAAACTGGGACAAGGGGAAAATAGGCCAAACAAGTTGCCGCTGTGTGCATGTTTTTGTGCGCACATGAAAATTTGATTATAATAATAAATACACTGGTGTAAATGGATTTTGGAATTTCCAGACATTTATAGCGAAAGCCTAGATTCTTAAGCGGGTGATTTTCAGACCCCGTTTTTCACGCAAAAAGGCATCATCAGAGTCGACTGAAGCTGAGTCTACAGCGATATCTGAGACTTTGCTCAAGCCAAAGCCCAAGACCAAGTGTGCGCGCAAGAATCCATCTGGCCCTGCTTCTTCCCTTTAAAATAAGCAGCGAACTGGATAATATTGTCAGCTATAGTGGTCTATTGCCACTAGTTTCTAAACACCTGTCAGGCTGCTATTCAATCTGTGGGAAGGATGTCGATTTGCAGGATACTTGTAGTCTCATTCTTTTCTTTGGTGTAATTAAAACAATTTGTAGACGTGCAATTTCCATATCCATATAAATGTTCATTTCCATTCATTTGAAGGCGTATACTTATTTGTCTTTTTTATTTCGAGGATACTCTTGAACGCGATGCATTGAAAATTTTTAAAACATATTTACTTGTCGCGCTTAAAATAACCGCTTGCCACCAAGATGGGACTAATGTAGTCGATGACTGACTCGCCGACTTGCAGATATTTCTTGATGGCCACGTTGGCAGTACCCTTTGTGTCGTCGACAGCCAGACTACATAAGAAACCCACATGCAACAATAATATCATTTAGCGATTCATACGAGTGTTTTCAATAATTTCAACTGTTCTCAGAAGCTTTTTGCTTTACTTACGTTAGACCCGCGGATCGGCGGATTCCGGCCAGTGTAGTCGAAACGAGCACCAGATCAATACTATAGTGGACAAGTTTGCCGACAAATGGCATTGCAGAAATATATACTACGTATGTTTTTGTGTGGCTCAAGTATATAATAAATAAATAAAACAAACTGAATTTAATTGAAGCAAGAACATGAAAAAGGTGGGCGAGATCTTTTCATTTATCCTCGGATGTGCGCATGTGCCCACTTGATCTCGTTACATTGCGCGGGGCTTTGAGCATGAATAAAATGCGCATGATCACAAAAATGTCTTATTTTCGGCCGCTTAAGCAATGCTGCCAATATTCCACAGCGATATCCTCGAGTCTCTGCTTGCAGCCACCAGCCATTGCGGCCTAGAACACCACCGCCTGCGAATCATATCGTCTGTTATGACATCCGCACAAGCCTGGCTCAAAGTGCTTATATCAACGGATGTTATCGCCGCACGATGGAATTGAAGGCTGCAAATATGCTCCATCCGTTCTCTAAAAATGTGGATCGAATAGTCCCACCCAGCGACAACAACCAGTTGTGGAGACAAAAAGCAGCGCACCTCTGAGCCGCCAGGATTCCGCAACACCGCAGGCGGTGCAACCTCACAGAGCCCTGTCGCTTCAATAGAGTAGCAACAAACCATATTATCAGCGGCACATGTAAAGACAAGTTTGCGCTGGTGGTCATAGTCAATGCTCATAACAGGTTCCTTGTGAGCTGTGGCCACAGCGCCGATACAATTTGATGTGCATGATATCGCCGAGTCCATCAATATTTCAAAGCATTGCAGCATCGTACTCTCGTAACCAATTAGCAACAAGAACCGGTCTGTACCTTGTGAAACTAGCTTCATGCACATCGGCGAGTCCTCCCGCTCGCCTGCCTTGGTCTGGCTCTTGCGCTCAATGCTGAATGACAGATGCTGTGATCCGTCAATGTTATACATGTAGGCCTTTCCAGATCCGGCGTTCTCCAAGGCCACAACCCATGTAGTGCCCCCAACTTTGCAGTGCGAGAACTTGCAAAAGCTCATAGAATCTGCGCCAATCGACCGCACAAGCTCAAGACTGCCGGAAAATTCACTGGCAACGAGCTTCCAAATATTCAGCTTGTTGTCTCGACCCTGACTAAGGACTGTGTCGCCGCTAACACCACAGGCCTTTAAAATTGCTGCTGAATGCGCTGCAGTTGCTGTAACCAGCTGCCGTTTGAGCAGCATGTTCCACACAATCAGATGGCCGTCTTGGTCCCCAGACACTAGAAACCGGTCATCAGCAAAAAAGCTCACGCTGTTGACCGCAGCCTGGTGGCCTCTGAATACAAACTCTGGCTGGGCCATCTGTATTTTTTAAAATGGTATAGAATAAAAAGGAATAGGTATAAAAACTGTGGGCGGTTATCTTGTTTTTTAGCACCAGTTAAAAGACCTTGCTCGGGTCCAGGTTCAGGCCACATTTCGGCTTGCATAAAACAAGCTTTGCAACCAATATGGGAAATTCACACATACATGTCAAAAATAAGGTGTGCTTGTTTTATATCTTGATCAATGTATCTATTTTCTCTCTCATGTCAATAATAAGGTGTTTATTTTTTGCAACAAAGGATCTACTTTATGAATAAACTAAATTGTGGTGACCTGCATCAATGTGTTGGCGCCCAAACAAAATGTTCCTAGGTTTAGCTCAGAAGTAAAAACTGATAGACATCAATATTTTAAAAAAAAGTATTGCAAAGCGCATTATGTGAGTAAAAGCGTGCAGTGAGCAAAAACACAATAAGAGAAAAAGTACATGTATAATGTAGGTAAAGAGTGTGCTTTGGGTTAAATTGGGAAGTACAATTTACCCCAAAAAGAATAAAAATGCAATACTATTATTTTTTAAAAAAAGATCTAACCAACTTTAAAAATGGTATAAATACACTGATAATGTACGCCTATTTTTATAATTACATATCAATCACTAAGTTTCTATACTACTCTTCTTATTAGCAGCCTAGCTATATAATATTACACAACTTAACCATGTTTACCGTCGCCAATGAAGTAGCCTCAATTTTTGCAGAGTCTGCAATCCCTCGAATGCCCAGTTATTCATTTTGTAGGAAATGTGGTAAAAAAGAAGGGACTTGCAAATGCTACGATAAGTGTTGCATAATATCGTAAGTTAGCACTTGTTTTCAGCGCCATTATTAATATATAACTCGCTCCTGACTTTAAACACCTGTTTTAGTCCAGTCCAGAATATCGTTCTTCAGAGTCCAGTTTATACATATACAAAAGCAAATCATTTTGTCCGAGCATCTCTGCTCAAATATTTAGTTTTATTTTGATAGTTTATTAAATGTTATTAAATGTTATTTATTTGAAATTTAATGCCAACTTCCAGCCAGATTACAAACAATCAATTGTCAAATACATGAGGTATTCAAACACTCCTTGCAGCTGGTATTTGTAATTTCCCCCTTCACTATGCGTACCACATCTTATATTTTTATGTTGCCAGCAGCGAATCTCTTGAGTTTAAAACTAGTTCCAGAGGACCAACATAAACACGGTCGAAGCATTAGCCATCCGGAAGCAACCTGAATCGACATAATTTAAATAGCCAGATGTCACGCCCTGCAATATTAATTGTATAAAATATTAAATAAAGCTTTGTCAGCAAACCAAGTTGAACACATTAGTAATCGAACAAACAAACAAACAAGACAAATAATGTGATAAGTGCATACTGCCTTGTTTATCAAGCAAAGTACACCACAAATACAGGACAAACCCAACAATTTAAAGCAAATATATGGTGCCAACGCGTCTTTGTTTGAGTACTAATATGGATAATTATCGGGAAAACGTAGAATGAACATATTTTCTCGCCATTTGCAAAATTATTGCATTAGTACCAGGTTGGCATTGTCAATAAAAGCATGTAGACTTTAGTATATAAAAGGTATCGCATGGTGCTTATTCCAAACAACACTGCCATAAAAAATTACACTCGCTTATGCACATCATATATTTGCAAACATTTAAAAATTTTAAACTCAACCAAACCAACCACCAAATAATGGCCCAAACAATTGCAATCGTCGGCGCAACTGGCCTTCAGGGCGGCAGTGTTCTCAAGACTCTCTACGCCACTGGCAAATACAAAATCCGCGCACTGACTCGTGATACTAGCAGCAACGCTGCCAAGAGCTTGGTGAAGTACCCAGGCATTGAACTGGCAAGCGCTGGCCTCGGCAACATTGCTTCGTTGCGTCAAGCATTCAAGGGCGCACATATTGTGTTTAGTATGACTTACTTCCACCTGGTGGCCAATGACCGGGACGTTAATTATGACGAAGAGTACGAGCATGGTAAGAACATAGCCGATTCCGCCATCGCCGAGGGTGTCGAGTCCCTAGTCTTCAGCAGCCTTGATTCTTTGAAGGCAAATTCCAATGGCAAGTACCCGGGCGTCATGCACTTTGAAAGCAAGCACAGGGTTGAGGAATACATTTTGAGCAAGGCAAACCAGATCCGCGGATACTTTGTCTATGTGGGATTTTACTTTGAAAACCTAATAAACTCGTCACGCCTTTTGCTGGAGGACAGCAAGACCATCGAGTTTGTATTCCCACTGAATCCCACCACAGAGGTGCCAATTGTTGACACTGCCAATGACGTTGGCGCTGTAGTATCTTACATTCTGGACCACCCCGAAGAGAGCCTTGGAAAAGCGAGAGAGGTAAGCAGTGGCTACTACACAATTCAAGAGTTAGTTGAGGCGTTCACCGAGGCTACTGGCATTCCGGCCCGCTACATCCAGATTCCGGTTGAGCAAATTGGCAACGATAGCCTGATTCAGGGGTTAAAGGGCATCGAAGAGTTTGGAGGCTTCGATGGAAGAGCCGAGTTCATTGACCGCAACAAGCTGCTGATTGACCACAAGTTTGCCACCCCGGTCGAGTTTTGGAAGAACCGCAGATGGGCTGGCCCTGCCCAGTAAACATCCGCGCTTAACTGTCATATTTTCATTTTCATATTATATACCAGATACATGCATTGTCAGAAATAGCACAGCCAACAGGCCCGCTTCGAAGAGTAAAGTCAATCTCAAGTTTGTGCCTAACCAAAAGCCTCTGCTGATATTTATTTGTGTGGCATAGTGCTGATCTAATAAAAAAGAGAATTCAGAGATCAACGTCGGATCAAGGCAGTGCGCGTAAAAAACGATTCCATATTTTTTTCGGCGCGCTTGCCTTGTCTCGCGTCAACAAACAATAGAAAATATACGAATCGAAACAATTATTTTTCACATTTACCAATCCTCGTTTTGTCTTTTCCTTTCTTTTTATTCAATTAGCACCACATTTACTTTACCATCTCTATATTATTTCACTTTTTATACTATTGGCCAGCGCGTCTGTTTCAATCGCATTTCCAAATACACCAGATTTACTATTACAGCGCGTGCTCGGACGTTCGTTGCTTTTTTCGTATTCGTTATTAAAGTTTCGACACAACTATAAAAAATATAATAGTAAGCAGAATCGGAATGCAGAGTCTTATGTCTGGCAGCCAGAGTAAAAAGTTAATACATAAATGAATTCTAAAACTAAATCCAACTCAATCATTCACCTCAACTTGTAGAATGGTAAACACTACCTGGGTGCCCGAGAGGTTTTCCAACTTCAACAAGCTGCTCGAGGAGAGTCTGGAGCTGACTGACGATTCGCCCACATTCGAGCAGCTAAAGCAGCAACTAGCAAAGCTCAAGCCGGATCTGGCCGGGCTGTTTGAGTATCCGGGAAAGAATTCGCAGCACCGCGCCGAGCTAGAGAAGGGCACACCGTCGATCAACGGCGAAAAGTTCAAGGTCAGCGATGACTTTATCAGCGAGGCAAAGAAGCTGTCTGAATTTTTAGACATTGACGAGGACATTGCTGCGGCGCTGGTGCATAAGGCGGGGCCTTTTGAAAAACGCTTCGAGCTGCCGGCTGCCGAGTCAGCGGTGCTCTTGTTCTTCAGCGAACGCGAGGCAAAGTTGGCGAGCCTGACCACGATATTTGTCGCCGGCGGGAGCCAGGTAGTTGACGAGTCGGTCAGGACAGTTTTGGACGAGTTTGCCAGCGAGATGCTCTCCACCACACTGACATCAGCCAACACGAT